ATTAATGGCATTAGTAGAAGCAAAAGATTTGCCTCATTCAGACTTTCAGAATCAGATTAGGAAACTAATACTGTATATTTTATATCTAACTTAGATAAGATTAAATCAACTCAAGCAAAGACAAAGTCCAAGAATAAAGTGAGGCTTAACTTTAAAATAAATTAAATAAAAGTGTATTGATATTGATAATATTAAATTAAAAAATACAAATTTGGTGATTAAACTGATGCCTTATAGTAGTATAAAGTAGCATGGGTATGATGGGGCAGCATCTTATTTCTACAACATCTCACGTCATCAAAACACATCATCATGATTCATAAACAAGCATGAGACAGTTGTAATTTGTTTACCATAGAGAAGTTACTGAGTGCGATGCTGTGTGGCCGATTTCGTTTCGTACCGCCACCGGTATCCCGATCGCGTTTATCGCTCATAATTCCGTCGTCGTTGATGCTCGTTGATTGGTCTCTAATTTAGAAATCCACGTAAATTCCACAAAAATTGATGTTTCTAGTGATGGTCCACTTGTAATCACTTAAGAATTTCCGTCGTCAAAGTACAATGTCACTTTACAAATCATCTCATATTCCGAAATCAAACAGGTAAACAAATTTCGATTTTAAAATCATCGTCACGGCGGGGAGTTACCCTTCCTCAAATATTCTTACTTCCGGTGATCGTGAAGCGAAGGTAGATCGAAAGTAATTTGTGCGCGCGAGGATCTCAGTGGCTTGAGGAGACTTTGAACGCAGATGGCGTAATACAAGTTTTGTTTTCACTAATGTTGATTCTGTTCCTAATTCCTCGTTCAATTTTGAATGATATAAGATGGAACCTTTACGATAGGTGCCTCTTTGTTTTATTCAGACAAAAATATATTAAACTATGACGTGATGAAAGCTTTGGTTTTTTGTGCGTTGTCAAAGTATTTATTCTCAGTTAAACAATCCAACATGAAACATTTGCCTTGACAAAATCATAAAAGTGTCATTTGCCAGGCTATAAATGTGTTCACTATTATTAAATAAATTTCACAAATTATAAGATTTCTTTTTACATGAATTTTGTTATGTTATTTTGTTAAGAAAATGTGTACACCTCAATCTTTTCACTTTGCCCAGTAAGAATTTGTTACAGGGTGGAGTAGCGAGGGTCCATCTATTCGGTGGATGGAAAGTGAATTAGCAAAGCATGTGATTCGGCAGGGTTTCTGAGGGCATCGTAGCGGGTATCATTTCTCTGTCACGTTTGCTTCGTAGCTCTGCCATGTCTTCGAAAGCAGCCATCTTCTATAAAGAAGCCCTCAGTTTGAAGAACGAAGAAAAAGAAGAAGAAGAAGAAGAAGAAGAAGAAGAAGGAGAAGAAGAAGAAGAAGAAGAAGAAGAAGAAGAAGAAGAAGAAGAAGAGAAGAAGATGATGAAGAAGAAGAAGAAGAAGAAGAAGAAGAAGAAGAAGAAGAAGAAAAAGGTTGTGATCTAATATGCAGAAAAATAGGTGGAGAAAAAGCCTATAAGGCTAAACTAAATCCGAAGGGAAGATGACTTACTACGGTTCAAATCTTACTATTTTTTTAATGTGGGGCAGATTAGACATGCTCGTACAAAGAGAAGAACATTTTAATCTGCTTCGAATGAAGAAAAAAAAAGGGGGGAAATAATTCTCAGAGGGGATCCTCTGGCACCTAATCCTATTTTGGATGAAAGTCCAAGACACGAGATTTTGAGACTGGTAAAAAAAACCAACCTGGTCTCGAAGCTATAATGACATATACTCGCATTCTACCATTCGCCTTAAAATGACTCTTTATATCATTCTAAGGGGCCATTTAGCGCCGTGGTTTTAAGGAAAAACAGTATATCGGGGTCAGGGGGTCAGTAGGCGTGGCTTTTGCAGAGATGTATGTGCGACCACTAGGATGTTCGCCCACTACCCCACCCCCAAAAAAGTCAGACGTCGACTGGCTTATAGCCTTATTACAGGCCCGCTTGAAATGTATTATTATCTATCTAGTGAGGTAGCTCAGTGGCGGATCCATGGATCGAGGAGGGGGGGGGGGGGGATCTTTAGGGGAGGTGGTTTTGCTTGAAAATTCTCTGAAAACAAACAAACGAAATCAGCAACAACGGCATGATAGGAAAGGATTGCTTTTTAGTAGTGCATTATCTGCAAAGCCTTGGGAACGGTATGTTAATTAATTTCGGGTCTGGGTTATAAATAGGCTAGTTTTAGAAAGTAGAGTGCATTACTATACCCTACTTTTTTAATGTATAATAAGTAGAACCTCATGATTTTGATGATCTTAACAATCAACAATGAAATCGGAAAAAACAAATTTTAACACAAATAATAATCGTGGGGGGGGGGGGGGGAGGGGGATCTTTAGGGGAGGTGGTTTTGCTTGAAAATTCTCTGAAAACAAACAAACGAAATCAACAACAACGGCATGATAGGAAAGGGTTGCTTTTTAGTAGTGCATTACTATACCCTACTTTTTAGAACCTCACGATTTTGATGATCTTAACAATCAACAATGAAATCGGAAAAACAAAATTTAACACAAATAATAATCGTAACCACTGATACAATAATAACAATAAGTTTAATGATTATATTGACAATAAATGATAATCTTGTTGGTAATAATGCTATAATAATAAGAATAACACTAATTATATATTTTTGTTTACTAATAATAAAAGTAATTGTTGTTATTATAGTACAAATTAAAATGAAATCATGATCATAACGATGATGTTAATGATAATAAAAGTGGTAATGCTAATAAACAACAACAAAATCCTAGTAAACAACAACAACACCAATAATAATTAATGATATTGATGATGAGAATAGAAAATATTAATCATTAATATCAAACTCATTGATTATTGGTTATTTAAGTAATTAATTAATTAATCAATTAATTTACAAAATCATTAGGTTGTATATCATATTATTCACATGATCCACATGCCCCCCCCTCCCACCTGTCCGCCCCCCCCCCCCCCAGATCCATGAATCCAGGGGCGTACGCAGGATTTTCTCAAGGGGGGGGGGGGGGGTTTTGCTCCCGAAAATTTGAAAATCGCGCCGGCCGAAAAGTCGCTCAGTGGTGTGGGGGGGGGGGGGGGGGGGGGGGGGGGGCAAGCGGACACTTTTTTTTTTTTTTTTGGTCTCGAAATTTCAAAATTTGACATTTTCTTCGTTGGGGGGGGGGGTAAGGTCACCTTTTTTAGGTTAACCGTGGGTACAATTTTTTTTTTGTTTTTTTGTTTTTTTTGTTTAATAATTAAAAAAAAAAAAAAAAAAAAAAACCAAAGGGGGGGGGGGGGTTTTGGTTTTTTAGGGGGGTTTACACACATAAAAATACCAAAGGGGGGGGTTTGAACCCCCAAACCCCCCCCCCCCCCTGCGTACGCCCCTGCATGAATCCGCCACAGCTACCTCACTATAGATAGATAACAATAATTTCCAAGCGGGCCTGTAATAAAGGCTAAGCCAATCGACTTCTGACTATTTTGGGGTGGGGTACTGGGCAAACGTCCTGAAGCGTTTCGGCAAAAGCCACGCCTACTGACCTCGACACGATGTACACACGCACCTAAACACACACGTACTATGCATGTATGGTAGCAGATGCAGATAATAGACCCTAAACTGACATAAGTAGTCATTTTAAGGCGAATGGTAGAATGCGAGTATAGGTCATTATAAAGTCGAGACCAGGTTGCAAAAAACGGGATATGGAAAACGTTCCCCCTTTTTTCACTTGCCCCCCCCCCCCCCCTAGATCCGCCCCTGGGTGAATAAACATGGTTATAGTGTGTGACCCCAACTGCATGGGTCTCGATACTTACGTAATACCTATTCATCAGGGGGATGAATGAATAGATCATCCCCCCTGATGAATAGGTATCAGTTACGGATCGACACCCAGGACCCCAAGCACACCTTGGGTTTCCTAATACTAGTTTGAATCAGTGAAGGTTTCATAAATGGAAAGAAAATGTTCTCATTCTCTATAGTTTTTATACCATCTATTACAAGCAGCCGAGATAGCTCAGTTGGGAGAGCGTTAGACTGAAGATCTGAAGGTCCCTGGTTCAAAACCACACGGAGAACTCGCATGAGTTCTGAACTGTCCCGGGTTTCGGCCGTGTCATTTTGTGCTTTTATTCACTGTAACTGAACAACATCATATTCAAATTGCAAGTTTGACATTTGTTTTTCTGATCGTAAATAATTTGTTGTCTCTATCATGTTTTTAGCCAGATGCCTTCTTTGTATGATACCTGGCTTCATTTCTTCGAAATATATTGCCCAATACTATCATGGTGTATGAAATAAAAAGCACTGAAGTTTGAGGAAAATTAGGGAAAATCAAAATGAGTAATAAACGCTTAGTGTATCGTACTCTTTGAAGATATCTTACACGATTGCAAAGAATTTCGGAAAATCAACTAAAAGCAATATAAATGGACATGTCCATCACCTTTTGAAATGTGCTAACTTAAAAATGCGTATATTACGTAATCAGAAAGTTTTTCTACATACAACATGGCATTAACATTGACTTTGGGATTTTTTTTCTCGAAAGGCTTTGCGACCGTGTTTATTATAATATTGAGTAGCAATTTATAATAACGGTGAGTAATGAGTCGAGTTGAGTCTGTTGCGCTAATGTCTAATACGCATGACAGTCTGAGCATCCAGTATAATGTTTTGTCGTTTTGAGTCGGGTTAGGATTAGAGTATACCTGGTCCAGTCACACCGCCAAATCGACTCCAAGCCGACTGATTATTGGCCTGTGAGGGTATATGTAATGGTTTGTTCGGTCTGGTGTCAGTGTGGTGACTGGCTCACTGGTGTGACTGAGGACTGAGGTATCTGATCCAGTCACATCGCCAAACCTACTCCAAGCCGACTGATCCTTGGCCACTGAGGGTATATGTAATGGTTTGTTCGGTCCGGTGTCAGTCTGGTGACTGGCTCACTGGTGTGACTGAGGACTGAGGTATCAAACTAATAAGGTATTGGAGTAAGCTCGTCTATGTAATCAAAGACGGTATAAACCGCATGACTTGCCTGAGGAAGCCACAAAAGCTCGGCTTAGTTAACCTGGCGAAGTCAGTCATTGTCATCTCATTGTTATCGTCATGAGAAGAGCTCTGACGTCCCTTGCTTTATTCGCTATCATACAAAAGCTCTGGTGGATAATGACACGTTGAATAGTTTCATTCTGAATTAAGGGATTTATATTTCTTCGCTTTGAGAACAAACCACACTTTACCTGGACAGATGTACATACTGAAGCAGTCCACCATTAACGGTTCAGGAAATAGATGTTCATCTTCCTCCATAGTTAAGCAATTAGTGTCCCGGCAAACACACAGCACTCTTATAACGTTCGTTAAAAAAGTTCCAAGAGCATTCAAAGGATTATAGACTACCCTTGCTAACGCCTTAAAAATTCTTGGGATATCCTGGAACGGCGCTCGAATGTCGACTTCTCAGAGGATGCTCTGAATAAGGGAAATCGGAATGATTTGTAAAGGTATGTGTCTTTGATTATGTTGATGGGTAGCATGATAATGTTTAGAATCAATATTTCTGTAGTTTTTATTTTAAAAAACTTTTAAAACGACATCTTTTATTTCCACTGATAGATATCGACGATATGTCCAAGACCGTTTTTTTTTCCACGTGAGGCTCCAAGTAAACGTGGCTAACATCATTGAACAAAATGCAGGCATTTGCCCTCCATATAAATATAATTATCAATCAAACAATCAGGATCAAACGATCAAGACTAGTCCACAATATTTTGTTGACTTGTACGTGATATATAAATTGGAAATGATGAATGTATCACACATAATAAATGAATGCGTTACTTGGGATAAATACAAAATTATTCATTTTAGAAGGCTGATTTCACTCATAACGTGCGTTTAAATAAAGGCACAAAATCAAACAATACAACACGGAATACGTATTGTGAACGTAGCATATTTAAATTATCAAAGTTTCTTTTATCAGGGATATAGTCTTCGGCAATGTTGTAGCAGAAGAACGCTGTATTGGTGACAAAGACGACTTATAACAAGGAAGCATGATAAGGGTAAGATTTTGAGATGTGTCGTAAAACATCTAAGCCTTAGAATTACAAGTTCCCTATATAGCCATGCTAGTTGACATTGGCATATCTACAGATAAGTGTCTTTTCCCAACTTTTTCCAACTGTGCGTTATTCCGAAGGTTCGTTACTCCCAAGGTTCATAATTGCGAAGGTTTGTAATTCCGCTAATGAATAAGGATTCATAAAGCAACAGAGTTCGTAATTCCGAAAATGATATAGAAACATGTATCTCTTTTTCGGAATTACGAAACCTCGGAATAACACACCTAATATACGGAATTATAAACCCTATTTCATTTTCGAGATCCCCCCCCCCCCCATGTGGGAAATTTGTGTTTCAGAATTACGAACTTTCTGAAATATGAACATTCTTTTAAACAAAACAAGTGCCTCCCATAGCTACAGGGGGCAATGAGAATTTCATAGCTGAATGGTTCTTTTAACTTTCGAGTAGAAAGAGTATCCTGGGAAAAGCTAGAGGTGTCGTGGTCTAGTGGGTAAGTAAGTGGACCGTGGATCACACGGTGAGTGGTTCGAATCCCTGTAACGGGATTAACATCTATTTGGTAAGACAGGGGAGAATAATACTATGGTACACACTTTTACATGTATTTTAAGCGCAGTAAATAGAGTATGTTCAAATCGGTTCGAATAGTGGGTGCGCTATATCAATCAACTTCTATTATTACTACTATACTACTACTACTTCTTTTACTACTGCTACTCTACTAATACCAGGCGCGGATCCAGGGGGGGGCCGAGCGGGCCTTGGCCCCCCCCCCCCCCACCCCCGCAAAAAAAAAGGAGAGAGAGAGAAGGAAAGAAGGGAAAGGGAAAGAGGAGAGAAAGGGAAAAAAGAAGAGGAAGAAGAAAAGAAAAGAGGGCAGAAGTAGATCGGGGGGAGGGGGGGGGGGGGGCAAAAGGACTTGCCTCCCAGGCTGTTGCCCCCCCCCCCCCCAATCAAAAAATAAAAGAGAAGGAGAACAGAAGATTGATATTGTTTAGTTGTACGATAACATCACTCAGTTTGATTTGATTTGATTGGAGATATATCTCATTAAAAAACATAGTAAAGGCTATACAGTTTCAAACAAACCTACACCATTAAACTTCAAGCTCACTCACACATGATTTAATGCGACACTTTCAAGGCTACTTATTATTTCAAGTTCATGTATATACAAAGGGCAACAGCTTCAATATTAAACGTAATTAAATCAATGGTCTGGAAAATGTTAATGCCAATTGTTGTATATTATACAACATTTTCCATAACGATGAATATACATTGTATAATGCAATTTTCAGGAAAACCATACTTGTCATTACTGTTATATTTGTTATGATACTAAAGCAAATCGTTTCGCTTATCGATAAGATAAATCAATGTGAAGTACGTGTCAAATAATGAAATCATTACGTGCTATTTTTAACCGGACTAGACATTTGAAACGTATAAAAAATGTATACACTATTGACAGCAAGCAAGTTTTTTAAACAAAGAATTCAGAAATTGAACAACATTGCACATTTTAGTCTACACGGCATGCTCTACACCCTTAGTTGGACTGTAAACAGTTGTCTTTGAGTTTGAGTTTATTGAGTTTATTGATTTCACATTTCACATGCAGAAATAATACAGATAACAAAATATACATAAAAGACATATTGTTTCATAATATAACAAAATGATTATATTAAGTCTTCTTAAGTCTTCCATATAAATATAAATTTAAAGGAGGTCAATAATCATTATGAAAACACCACTTTCGTACGGTTGACACATCAATATATATTGTGCACACATGTAACAATGTGATAATATTTTTTCTTTGGGGGGGGGGGGGGACGGGAGGAGGGCAATCCAAAAAGGGACTGATATGTGAACATTAATATTGAATAAAATATGTATTCTGTTGGTATCACGTATGTACAAGTTACACTGTATGTTAACAAGATTAAAAGTTATAGAAATAGATCAGTGTTCCAAAAATGAATATTCAGCTTGCTCTTTTAAGAAGTCCCTTCCTGCTCAGTCAAACTAAAATTTACCTAGTAAATATTTACAACCCTTCGGACTGCACACTAGATATCGGCAAAGTAAAAGTGAAGCGTGAAAAAAGTATATTGCTTGTTTTTATGCTGTAGTTTTGCTAAAGAATGTAATTTTGTAACACAAAAAAACTTCAAAAACCTGTGAGGGGTTTACATATAAGACTTATCATCCAGCTTTATGGGGGTAGTCCCTTCCGTCAGCTCCGCCTCTTTCACTGGCGTACTGATGGGGGGGGCAGTAACCCCCCCCCCCCAATACAATTTAAACATGGGTTATTTTTAATTTGATACCAGTGATTTACAAGTATTGCTAAAATGGCAGTATTTTTCCATGAGCTCCCGGGGGCTCTACCCCCTGGAACCCACCAAGGGGCCTAAGGCGGGTCCCTAGATGCGTAATTTGGTGCTTAAAAGCCCTTCCGTTATGTATTTCTTATGTATTTCTTTGTCTTTCTTTCTTTCTCCATATCCTCTGCACTCTCCTTATGTATTTTTTTGTTTTCCCTTTTCTATTACCTTCTCTTCCCTGGGTATACGTGCTTGCACATGAACTATATATGGCTAAACAGTTTTGTAAAAAAAAATATGCGCGAACGGTCAAGGAGTAAGAAGAAGGCAAAAAGAGAACAAAGACGGCATCCATGGAAGCCATGTGAGAGTGTCCACTTTTTTCGCTTTTACTTTCACCCTTGCATTCTTTCCTGAATCAGAGTTTTCTCACACCTTGTAGACTCGTGCAGGTTATGAAATTGCATTCAAACGAGGATAATTTTCGAGAACGCTATAACGAATCGTCTTCTTTCAATAATAGTTTAATGAAACGTCAAAGCTTCCGCGCTACGCGGAGGAGGGGGGCTGAATTAAGAGAAGGATTAAGAGTCGAGAACGGTACAACGAATTGTCTTCTTTCTCTAATACTTTAATGAAACGATATAGCTTCCGCGCTTTGCAGAGGAGGGAGGGGGAAAACTCGCCCCTCCCTACATCCCCCTGCATTACGTCACTGCTGGTCACCATTACGTACCAATATTTGGCTCGCATAATTTCAAATTTGGGCCCCCCCCCTAAGAAATCCTGGATCCGCGCCTGACTACTACTACTACTACTACTACTATTAATTATTCTACTACTTCTACTACTACTACTACTACTACTACTACTACTACTACTACTGCTAATAATTGTGTATTTTGTTAATTCGAAATTCGTTTATCAGAGGCGGCGTTCTTGCCTATGTTACTTCATGGCAATATTTGTCTCCGTTGCCGTCTTCTACGTGTATTACTTCATCTTGCTCAAAGTCCCTGCTGAGGACAACCAGCAAGTCATTTTGCCGATGAAACGCCTGGAGGATATGCATTTCACGAAGGTCCGTCCGACCAAAGCTGCAGGGAACCTGACACAGAAGGGCACTACTGTGGAAGCCCTCGAAGTCAACGCCGATGGGAGTGAGGAGGTTTTGGATGCAGAGGGCAACCCTATTCCAGATCCAGAGTTGAGAAAAGAATTTAAAAGGGTATGCTGAGGGATCAAATTTGATAAGATAAGAAGCACAATGACTCCCTTATCTAGAGAAATCAGTCATGTTAGTAGGTGTGTTTTAATTGAATATTTTCGTTCATTGTGGCTCTTCCACACGTCATCGTACAAAACCAATCCGTGATCCCTTCCTCAACTATAAGTTAAGCAAATTTTGAAGACATACTGATTTTTCAATTAGCAACAAAGCTGTTGGCTGTATTTTGAATGCTATTTTCATAATCATCATTTTTCATCACAAACAGCTTTGATAATATCTAATATACGGTCGGTGTAAGACAATTTCCCTTCTGGATCGTCTTTAAGACAACGCGTCCCCTCGGGCAACCACTCCTAGTAATCTATGCAATGAAAGAACTGGTAGTCCGGTAGCCCTTTTGACATGTACCCTCCAGAAGAAGTCTTTCTTGTTTTACAAGATCACGATCGCAAATGCTTTCGAAAAAAAATCCTCAAGGGCTACTTCAATACACTTTTGTAGGCCTACGTCCCATACAAATCATGTTCGGACTGCATAATACGTCATTCTAATGTTCGCACATTTCCGTACATGATGGACGAAGTTTTTAAAATTGCCTTAAGTTGATTTTTGTTCAAAAGTCTCACGAGAGTAGTCTCTCCCTTAATATTCATGAAAGATATTCATCATATTCGGATTTGTCTTATTAAGGTAATTGTCCCGGTTTTTTTAATTAAAAAAGAAGAAGCTGTATAGCTGTGTCCTAGGTGGGGGTGGGGGGGGGGGGGGGTGGAGGGGGATTGTCCAGACGTGTTAAAAAAAAAGCATAATCCAAACGAAAGTTAGGCTTTTATAGTTATTATAGTCCTTTCTCTTTCCCATTCGACAGATAACTGCTAAGGTTCCGAACACTTTCTTGCCTGAATTTAAGAACCCTTGCTGGTTGGATGCAAAGGATGAACTCAATTGCTTGCCTTACTTTTATCTCATCGGGATGTCAAAATGCGGTACGACCGATTTATGGAAGAAGCTGACCTCGCACCCGGATATTGTTGATGTACCCAAAGAACCGCATTGGTGGGGTCCGAGACGAACCGGTTGGACCGGAATCGCTGCTCATGGTCAAGAAGGTAATTTATAAAAATCAAACAATGTAAATTTCATTAGGGCCCTTTAAAAAGTGGGGGTAGCGTGGGTCCCTCCAATCAGCGGGCATTGGTACTATTTTTTTTTGGGGGGGGGGGGGAGGAGGGGGGGGGGGGGGATTGGTGTTCAGTGGTCTTTACGGACAAAAAACAGGAAGTAGTCATGCCGGGAGGCACTGAAGAAAAGGAGAATGACGTGAAATCCAATCCAGATAGACAACTACTCTAAAAGAAAGCAGAAAAACCAGAGAAGCAAACTGATGAGTGTCATAATTAAGTAGATTAATATATTGGCAAAGGACATTATTACCGCTGCGGGACTCGAACCGCGAACCAATTGTGATTCACTATCCAGCGACGAATCCACTAGACACCGAAACTTCGGTAGCGGTATTATTCCAGTAATTTACAGGAAACAAAATTGTACATTGGACTTCAGTCAGAGAAAACAAAAGCTTGAGTTAGACTGGAGTCATCATTCGATACACAACACAACGAATTTTAGTCACATATAATGAAAGGTTCCAAAATATTTAATCCCTCTGATTCTCTAAGCCTATTTGAGAATCATTGCCTTTTCGTTTAAAACCTGATTGTATTCTCGTTCCTTTAGGTCCGTATTCTACTAATTCAGGTTAACCCGATATTGGGTCTGATCATCATCTTTAACAAAAGGAAAACATAGACGTGTTAGACTTCAGACCAACTTCATATGTTAAACCCAATTTTGAACAAAAGCCTAAACATAGTGTCGGGTTTAAGATTTAGTAGAAAACGGACATCAGAGTGCATACAAGCATGCGTGTCAGGGCTCAAATTAATTTTTTGTCCACGGGGGCTCTTCCCCGAAAAAAGAGCCCCCGTGAGCCTTCTCACGGGGGCTCTTTTATTACTGATGGAGGCTCTAAATACAAATATCCATTGAATTGGTACCTATGATACTCCTCAATTATTTGCTATTTCATCATTATCATTTCAATCAGCATTTTCCCTCTTACAAATTTACAAGCTACATAGCTGTTACTGGCCTGTGTATATAATATATACGCATACAACACTGATCTTTATGATGTCTTTAACGTGACATATCTTCTTCTCCCCTTGCAAACGAAAAAGAAAACATGGTCATTAAAAGGGATTAAGCGACAAATAATGATTGTGATTCAAATTGATGCGAATATTTGTTTGAATAAGCACTATTATTCACCCGAATCATTTTTGTAAAAACAACTTTTACAAATCTCAGCCATGCTTACTGAGTTGAGACGTTCCATTCAATTTAAAATACCCATTACATAATACACTTCTCCTAATCTCAAAGTGATCTTACAGCACAGTGGCAGAATTGCATGGCTGAGATTTGTAAAAGTCGTTTTTACAAAGAAGATTCTGGTATAAAGCATTGCATATTAAAAAAAATCCTTGCATCAATTTGAATCACAATGATTATTTGTCGCATGGTCCTTTTATTAAATAACCTAGTTTTCTGTTTTGTTTGCAGAGGGAGAAGAAGCTATGTCACGTTAAGAAATCATAAAGATCAGTTGTATTATGCGTATATACATATGATACCAGAACAAAATTTGATTATCAGAATGTCATTTTGGAATACCTCTATACAAATACCACATTGTCTTTAGCCCGTATTAGTATTAGTATGATCCAATATAAAGCTATTATTCTTTATTTAATTCAGTATAATGCTTTTCCTCAAAAATAGTTTTGCTATTTTTTTAGGATTGAGACGCTAAGAAATGGTTCCAAATGTACATTACACGAACCCTGAACCATTGCAAAATGATGGTGGTTCTCTCTCTCTTTATTTTAATCATGCAGTATCAACTACATATAAAGCAGCAACCAAAAACTTAGGGTTATCTGAGATAGGTCAAAGTAAGAGTTAAAAAGAAAGTCATGCTAAAACGGCGCTTCACTCCCCCCGCCCCCTGAAAAAAATAAAATAGATTAGTAGTCCTCCTCTCCAGAATCCCCCTCCCCCTCCCCCCGCTTTAATATCACATTTTCACTTGGCAGCCCAAGGGGGCCGGGGGGGGGGGTGGGAGGAGGGGGTTAAACCCCCTACCCCCCCCCCCCCCCGCCGTAGATCTGTCCATGTTATCATATCATTCCACGCAAGGGCGGCGATCCCGGGGGGGGGGGGGACGGGGGGACACGTCCCCCCTCAATTTTTTCAGGGGGGGATCGTCCCCCCCCCTGGAAATTTGAAAAAGTGCAAAACAAATTGTATAGCATATACTGAATAATGACTGCAACACACTTTTAGGCTCTGGAAGGCCCAAGAGTGCAGCGTTTAGACTAATAAAATTGCAAAAAAAATCTCGCTCGGTCGCTACGCTCCCTCGCATAACATCCTCGTAAAAAAAATTCGCATTTCTTCCCCCCGGTCATTAACAGAAATCGCCGCCCCTGATTCCACGACATTTTGGTCTTCCTCTTCTCCTCAAAAGGGACTTTTAGATTTGCGTGGACGTGGACGTGGACGTGTTACGTCCTTTTAAGGCACTGGCAATCACATGTGACGTCCTTTTAAGCTGGCAGTGCCTTAAAAGGAGGTCACACGTTGCAGTCCACGTTCTCATCGTGCAAATCTAAAAGTCCCTAATATTGATTTACTGGTCGAGGTTCATTATTTGCTGACAACGAAAAACTTCTCCAGGCCATGACCATGTTTCTGCCCTTGCCCGATCGCCTGCAGCTCCAGCAGACATGGCGCGGCAGCGTCCACACGCACCGCTACTAACGGCGCAGTAAGCCTATAACCACTGCTGACGGCGGCACTGCACTGCGAGCTGAATCGATAATAATAGGCCTACTCATAAAACGAGAAATCTTGCACGCTAATCTTAGTTCCATTTCATTGGTTTAAGGTTTGAAAATTGAAACTCAATATTGTGTTAAAGTTATAACAGAAAAGATTATCTTTATTTTATAATTCCACCGGGGCGATTTTTAATTTTGCAATCGCCCCCGTGAGCAACCTGACGGGGGCGATTTTGTAGCTCACGGGGGCGAATCGCCCACCGCCCCCGTGTATTTTGAGCGCTGATGCGTGTACTAAATTGTATACCGGTATTTGTAGGTCTTACCGAATACTCTGCATTACATTTTTTGCGGTCATATATGATATTTTACAAGTCAATTTTTATATGTTTAATCTAGTTTTAAAACTTGTACTGATTAGGACTAGAAGGCTCTGGGGTAGGGAGTGTGTAAGTAAGAGTGAAGCGGATATTCATGTATTATTATGCAATGTAGGCCTATCCCGTTTGATTGGACATCATAGTAATTATTTACAAGTAATGGTCGAAATAATAATGATTAAACGTCTTTTTAATTTTATTTAGATAAGATTAAAAAGCGTCTTTCCCTTCATGTATGAAATCATATTAAACAATAGAGATTGACCTTAAAAATACATCGAATCATACTCATCGCCACTCCTTTTTTAATTATGTTTGTCGCCCTCTCTCTTTCCTAAGCGTGATATAGCGGAGGTTGTTGAAATAAACCTATTTTATTTTCTCTTTCAAGGGGGACCCCCACATTCTTAGAGTTATCATAATTCATTAGCCTCTGTTATTGAGTCCTCATCATATCATTCCTCTCAACTTCTATCGCCCTCACACTGATGAGTTATGAACAATTAGGTGTTGGGGGTTGTGATCAAATAATGAAATTTACCACCACCACCACTATTACTACTACTATACTGCTGCTGCTGCTGCTGCTGCTGCTGCTGCTACTACTATTACTCAGAGGCGGCGCTCCGGGGGGGGGGGGGGGGCACAGTGCACCCAACTTTTTCAAGTACCCCAAAATTGCCCCTTTAACTTTATAAGAAGTGCCCCTTTTACATGGGAAAAGTGCCCCTTTCACTTTGACAAGTGCCCCTATTAATTTTTAAAAGTGTCCCTTCCCATTTCCACCTCTGATAAGTGCCCCTATTCCCTTTTCTTTTGACAAATTCACATTTTCCTCTGCAATAAGTGTCCATTACTCCTACTACTACTCCTCCTACCACGACTAATACCACTACCACTACTAATACTTATCATAATAACAATAGTTATAATAATATCATTACAATTGTTATTTATTTACGTTTTAAACTCAGTAATGCAGGTTCGTAAAAAGACCGGTGGCAAAGATGACAGATCTATCGACTGGTATCTAAACTGGTTTAAGACGTTCGCTGTGGACAAGCTTAAGCCACATTTCGCAAGTGCAACATCAAGAGAAAGTTATCATCCCAGGATTTTTGGTTAGTTCCTATCATCACGAGATGATGATTTGATTAAAATATACTTACTTTTAAGGTCCGACGGGTCACTTATACATGCAGTTGTATCAATTAATATCCTGACATGGTCCTGAAAGTTGGAAGTGAAAAATACCCAAACTCTGTATCAATATACTGCTTCAAACCCTACATAAAAAAAACTTTTAAAAAATGCCCCATGTGTGCTGGAGGAAGATAATGGGAAGCGAATACTTTGATGAATGCGAAAAATATGACGAAATTAAAAATTTAAGACAAAAGACAAAAAGGGTCATTTTGATATAAAACAAAACTAGATGGAATTTTGACTGCGCGCAGTCGAAAATGATGCCTCCGCCATAGAGCAATTTAAACAAGTTTGGAGTTTAAATCTCCAGTGGTTCTTGAGATATCATGATGACAATCTCAATGTATGGAATTTCATAAGTTGACCTCTGTGACCCTTGACCTTTGACCTACGTGCTCCAAAATCTAATCAGATTGTCTTCCTATGGTGATACACACTATCATTAAGTTTGAAGTTTAAATCTCCAGTGGTTCTTGAGATATTATATGGTGATACATACTATCATTAAGTTTGAAGTGAAAATTCTCCAGTGGTTCTTGAGATATCGCGATAACAATCTCAATGTATGGAATTTCATAAGTTGACCTCTGTGACCCTTGATCTTTGACCTACGTGCTCCAAAATCTAATCAGATTGTCTTCCTATGGTGATACACACTATCATTAAGTTTGAAGTTTAAATCTCCAGTGGTTCTTGAGATATTATGATATGGTGATACATACTATCATTAAGTTTGAAGTGAAAATTCTCCAGTGGTTCTTGAGATATCGCGATAACGATCTCAATGTATGGAATTTCATAAGTTGACCTCTGTGACCCTTGACCTTTGACCTACGTGCTCCAAAATCTAATCAGATTGTCTTCCTATGGTGATACACACTATCATTAAGTTTGAAGTTTAAATCTCCAGTGGTTCTTGAGATATTATGATAACAATCTCAATGTATGGAATTTCATAAGTTGACCTCTGTGACCCTTGACCTTTGACCTACGTGCTCCAAAATCTAATCAGATCGTCTTCCTATGGTGATACATACTATCCTTAAGTTTGAAGTTTTTACATCTCCAGTGGTTCTTGAGATATCATGATAACAATCTCAATGTATGGAATTTCATAAGTTGACCTCTATGACCCTTGACCTTTGACCTACGTGCTCCAAAATGTAATCAGATTGTTTTCCTATAGTGATACACACTATCACTAAGTTTGAAGTTTAAATCTCCAGTGGTTCTTGAGATATCATGATAACAATCTCAATGTATGGAATTTCATAAGTTGACCTCTGTGACCCTTGACCTTTGACATACGTGCTCCAAAATCTAATCAGATCGTCTTCCTATGGTGATACATACTATCCTTAAGTTTGAAGTTTAAATCTCAAATGGTTCTTGAGATATCGCGCTAACAAACTCAATACAAGGAATTTCATAAGTTGACCTCTGTGACCTGTGACCTTTGACCTACGTACTCCAAAATCTAATCAGATCGTCTTCTTATGGTGATAAATACTATTCCCGAGTCTTAAGTTTAAATCTTAAATGGTTCTTGAGATATTGTGATAACGGTCAAACGGGACGGACGTACGGACGGACAACCCGAAAACATGATGCCTCCGGCACCACCTTCGGTGGCGGAGGCATAACAATAACAATGGATCAGATTCGGAAAAAATAAGCGACAGAAATAAAATCGAAAATTAGAGGACTAACTTTTTAATATGAAATTTTGAACAAAGATATCGATTCTTGATATTGTTTGGACATGAAATGACAATAAAAGAAATGATAAAGAATGAATAGATGATTTTTTTTAAATCGGACGAAATAATTTAAAACTAAGTTGGACTACAGTTACTGTTCAAAATGTTAGATTAGAACTAGAGGGAGCAAACTACAAAGGATTATGAAGAAACAGGATGCCTGGAGGAGACAGGAAGGGGAGGAGGGTAAGACATCAAAAGTACATTGCATTCGCTTCAGGCTTTTGGCATTAAAGCACAGGCTGGAAGGAGAGAATGATTTCATTTTTTTCCGGATGAGCTGTCGCGTGGCCTGTCATGTAACATACTTTTTCGTTTTAAATAGTTCTCTCTTCCATTCCGTAAGAGCGTCTTCATCATTTTCATGGGAGGGGGGGGGGGGGGGGGTTAATTACCTACAATAATGGATGTTCGTGACCTGTTTGGAATTTAACCAAATGTGAGCTCTCATAGGTTATTTTGTTACAAAATATTTGCCTCTCAACAATTTTCTAAAAATAATTTCAATGTGTCATATCAAATCAGACTATTTAGAAAGTTTGGTTGGCACATTGTTAAACATTTTATCTGAAAATGAATATATAAGCTAATATCATATTCACTTTGTTTGCAAATTCGCTTCGGGACCCCCTCCCCTTTCCGGCTACAGAAATGAAAAGGCGTCTCTTGCATTTCATGAAAGATTAAACAGTTGTTATTTCTTATCATCCATCCCCTCAGGTGACGGTTCGATCAGTACTGCTTACTCAATTGGCAACGCGTGGTTAAAAACCAATGCAGGCGCCACGGATCCTCCGTATACAAACGCTGAATTACTGCACGCCATTCAACCGAAAGCTAAAATAATCATCATAGTAAGAAACCCAACGGAACGGTATGCTATGTAAAGTCTGTCTGTTTGTCAATCGTTTGCATTGTTGTCTATCATTATGTTATTATTTTTTTGTTACTATCCTCCATCTGTCTGTTTCCTCTCTATACCCCTCTCTCGCTCTCTTTCTGTCTCTCCTTCTATCTTTCAATCTCAAGCGGCTGGCCGAGTCGTTGCGAAATTTTTGGGACCAAAAAAATAAATAAAAAAGTGTCCTCTCGCCCCCCCCCCCCCTCGCTTATTCAGCGGCTGGCTGAGTCGTTGCGAAATTTTCGGCGTTATTTTCAAATTTAACCCCCCCCCCCCTTGAAAAAAATCCTGCGTACGCGCCTGTATGTACATGTATCTATTCTGTCCCTCCTCAGAATATCTCTCCTCTTCAGCATTAATTTCCCTCCTCTTTTTTTAACATCTTTTTAATTTTCCTCATCTTTTTGCTTCTTCCTGTCTCGTGTAAATTAATCAGTGGTTTGTTGAAGGGGGCATCGGGGCTGATTATTAATTTCAGAAACCAATTCGCCCAGCGACACGGGGACAAACACAAAGACATGGTGAAGCGAGGGTACACTTAATTCCTCGGTATAACTTTCTTTGTTAAACTCTACATCAGGCTAAGCTTACAAAATCAACGTCGGGTTTAAATTTTAGTAGAATATACCGTCAGATCATTGTGTTTTGGGTACTGAGGCACAAACATAATATGTTGCTTATTTCGTCGCCATATTTTACTACCAATGCCATCCATCTTACTAAAATTTCAGTTTGAAGTCTCTTTGATTCAAATATTTGTCTTGTTCTATTGATAACGTCTTTTCTTTATATCAATATGATATTTTCAATGACAATTCAATATAGCGAAGGAAAACTTTCTGTATGAGAATAAGCTAAGAATAAAGTAACTTTTCTCTCTCTTCTTTCGTTTCATTTTATTCTTTCCTATTCGGTTCTGGATGTGTTCCAGGTCGACTGATTAGCTTTCTTAGAGCTTTCAAACCTTAGGCTTGATCAGTTAAGCTTCAAATATATCGATATCGAAACTTGCGACCATGGCAGAAACTAATATTTTAAGTTGAAATTTGTCTAGAGGGGAAACGCCATCTTGGATATATCTGAAATATCCGCGTATAACAACCATTGTATTCCTAGGCCTCCTCGATGGATTGCGAAACGAGATTCTTCGGAAAAATATCTTTGATCATTATCAGAAAACGAAAGATAATTTTATCTTCGAACTCTGAAAGCATGTTGGAATGGTGAGGACAATTTGTAAGAAAAACTAAAGAAAGATGGAAGCGACGAACTAACTGAAATGGCAGAGATGCTGTTCACACATGCATAATCGCCGATTCATTATCGTGTGCTGATTTTCAACTTTTGTTCTAAATTTTATTTCACGAAGAGTCTTTTAAAATTGAGGCTTAAAAAGCGAAGTCTTTTTATCAAAAATTGTCAAAAAGTCTAACGTGAAAGTACAAATTGTAAGGTTGCACATTTCGAATTGCGAGTTCTCCTATTGTCTGTACAATGAGAGTCTATCCCTTAAGTTTCGTGTTAACTTCATATTGCAATTTCTTATTTTGAGAGAATAAAAGAGAAGATGTGTTTTAAAATTATTAATTCATTCCTTTTAGAGGACTACTTCGTTTTAGCCAAATGACACTGTAAATACGCCACTCATCACCAAAACCGACTCCGAAATCTTCGACCATTCGGCATTCTGTTCGATCTATTGTAAGTCAGGTTTTGAACTCATAGTTTTGACAGGGGTGTTACGAGTCACTTGTAATATCTTATATCTAATAGATTATGGTGCCTTTTAAAAAAGAAGCAAATAATTCAGTGGCATAGATACAGAGGGGCGCATGACCCCAATCAAATTGTAAATATACCCCAACCCCCCCCCCCCTCCAAAAAAAAAAAAAAAAAAAAAAAAAAAAAGTAGGAAGGAAAGAGGAATGACGAGAAGAGAAGACGCCTATAGACCGCCCGCATCTTTTCCCTTATCAGTAGCCGTATAAATTCGCATTTCATTTCCCGAGTAAAACGTCCCCGACACACACGCACACCCACGCACACACAGTACACACACACACACACACACCTTGCTTGGTGCACTCAGTGAGTACACTCACGTTAAGCTACCGATAGCATTTTTATAAAAACAGATTTACTCGATCATTTTCCTTTTTTCTTCTTCCACCATATAGAGCACGATCTTGGTACTTCTACACCCACCCACTGACTACCCCTGATGATTGGCATGTTAGTGCTATGACATCGATAGAGTGTTACAACAGTTGTATGAAAGAACACAACGAGAGATACTGCGCATACTCGTTTGGATGTGTAAGTTCAGTCGATAACCCTTGTCTAAATCTTTGGATATATATATATATATATATATATATATATATATGAAGCACGATTGCATAGACTTTCAAAAAGTCAACTTATTGCAATTTCAATATTTGGTCCATTACGTTTTAAAATGTGCAAATATTACAACGACGTATGACGTCATCCGAACATGATTTCTATGTGGTATAAAATAGGGTATTTACACTTTTCGATAGTAGTTGCGATCGTGATGAAAATAATTAAGATTTCATGGGACGTGGTTTTGAATGATTATGTTTATCTAAATAAGACTTCTCTCGCTTTAAGCCCCCCCCCCCCTCCCATTTCAGAGTAGTTCTACGCATATGAAATATCAGATTCCAGGTGCTGTCCTTTTAACACCAGCCAACAGTGTATTTCTTGCGATTTTTTTTTCTTTTACTTAATCAGTTATTATAAAGAGTTGCGATTGATTAAAATCATTTGCAATTGTGTCCTAATAAAATAGAAGTTGGGTTTAATCTGAAGTTGTGGTCCGTTCGAATCAATCGCAACGCTTCTGAGACGGGGCCCGAATCTTGCAGTAGCCGAAGCATATACATGTATTTGGCTTTCGGCTCTTTTACTGGTTCTTGTCTTTTTTTCTTCGGTCCCCTTTTCCGCCCCCTTGCCCCGCCTCTGGCCAGATTGTGCATGCTCCGCCTCTGACCCCTCCTGTCAAATTCTCTCCTTGTACTTTCGTATAACCTGTGGCGGCACCAGGATCATAAATAAGGGGATTGGGTGGGTGGGGGGGGGGGGCAAGTAGTATATTGTGAGGAAAAATGAGGGCGCGGTTAAACTGCCTCCTCAATTTCTAATAATTTTTGGTATTACAATGATATAGAATGTCAAAGTAATGACCTTTATAATAAGAGGTGTTCGAGGGTTCAGTAAAAACTCGATCCCCTGTCAAAAAACTTTCCCGACGCCGCCATTTCTGTCAACTATATAGATGTATTTTCTGTTCTCGTTCCCCTTACCTTACCTGTACTTCTTTTCTCACCTCCTGTTGTACTTTATATGGTACCTTGGTGTTGATTTTTCTTGACAAATTTTGGCTGCGTCCTCATTTCTTCCTTCCCCCCATTTTGGCAAGCTGAAACCCGACACCAGTGAAAACAAAAGAAATCCCCCAAGCCTGCAACATCATGAAGAGAGAGGAAGAACATCAACCAAAGCAATAATAGTCGGAACAACATAGAATGCCACCAAAACATGTAATTGAAGAAATCGCATGTACATTTTTCAGGTTCTCTGTATTACGCATTCGATTTCCGGCTGATCCGAGAGTTTCTGCGGCGACATTGGCTCTTGGATACATTTCGCCAAAGCTATAGGGTTAGGGTTATAGGTTTCCTTTCGGTAGTAGGTTAGGTTTAGGTTTAGGGGTAAAGGTTATGTATCTCGTTTGGTCCAGGGTTAAAGTTAGGAAATCGGTTAGTATTGTTACCGGGGCATGTGTCGTACGACCGATATTCGAATAGGGTTGGTGTACTCCATTCATTGGCAACACGTCTCAGCTTCATTAATTCTAGCCTTCCAGCATTCTGAGCGCTCCAGCTCATCTTCAATCGGTGAAAAATCGGAGAAAGAGGGAAATCGCAGCTCTGTGAGATCAATCTCCAATCACCGTCCCCCTCCCCCTCCTCTCTCTTTTTTTCTCTCTCTTTCTCTTCCTCCTTCCCTCCCTCGCCCTCCGTCCTCTCTCTCTCTCTCTCGTCCTCTCCTACCACCCCCTCTCTCCTCTTGTTTTTTGTCTCTCTCTACACCCATCCTCTCTCACCCTCCCTCCCTCTTTCCCAGTCTCGGTCCTGATATAATGGGCTTTTTCGCTTCTCGTCTGTCTGTTACTCCATTTGCATTTGGTTTCATTTGCATCTTTATTTCTTTCATTTTCCTTTTTGTGCTTGTACATTTTTCAACGGTGCCTCCAGAAGGGCGGAGCTGGGGTGTCGTTTTGTTGTACCGAGGAATTTCAACAAGAATACATACACATTCTTGTGTTATCTATGGGGAAGAAGACAACACCCCTAAGTAGGACCTTTCTCTAGCTCTCCATTTATCCATTAATGTTGCAGGCTAGGTTGCTAAGGAACAAATGATCAAAGCCCAAAGTGGAAATGATGATGGTGTCATTTGCGTTTCGGCGTTTGCTCAGTGGCGTAGCTTAGGGTCAGACATTAAGGGGCACCGTTGTCATGGGGAGGAGGACGTAGCTTACTGGATGAAATAATAATAATAACTAGACATAATACTTGTTTAGAACAAGTATAGGTGGGCTGGTCAACTTAAATTTGAAAACAAAATAGAGCAAAGTTAAGCGAGATACTGCTTGAAAATTCTTAAAAAATACTATCATGTAGATTCATTACGTGAACGAAATTCACCTTCTATAGTCATAACACGCAAATTATGAAATTTCTGACATGAGGCCTTTAATCAAAATTTTCACTCTGATGACGTCATCAAAATGAAAAAGGGTTATTATTGAACTTGTAGAAAATTATCTTAGCTACAACATATTGAAATTTTGAATAAAATCAATCAATATATACAGAGATACAATCATTTTTCCATAAATATGCTGACGTCATAATATGCAAATTCGTATTTTGAGTTCCAAGGCCATTAAGATGATGTCACGATACACTTAATGGCCAAATGAGACATGAAATCATATCTCTGACTCATACTCTTTTCAAATATTAAAACAGAATTGGGGTCCAGGTGCATCCCAAAGAGCTATAATAGATTGTGTATAGGCATGTTTTTGCCCATGTATGTTATGTATTACAAGAGCTCGCGCGCACGGACATTTATGTTAAGCGAACGCTCATTCCCTTAATAATAGTCATAAAGAGATAAAAATGGTATCAATTTGTTTGTAAAAATATGGGAAATATCATAAAAGAAAAAAAATGGCGATTCTATGTTTTGTAATGGTGTTACGCGCGAAAACGCGCGCGCATGCGCGTGTGCGCGATTTTTTATAAAATGCTTAAAATGGCCTTAAACGTATGCAAAAAAAATTTGAGAAGATTTTCAGCATTATAAAATTTTGCGCGCGCACTGACGCGCGGACGTACGCGCACGCGCGCGTTTTTTGACATGAAATTGACCGGACTGATATTGACCTTGATCATGATAAATATGAATGAGAAATGATTTACCGTTATGAAAATATGACCATGAGTAAATCTTCAGAAAATTTCACAAAATGGCGCCTAGATGACGTCATCAGTCAAGGTCAAGGTTTTAAACCTTACCGTGTTTTCTCCATATGCCTATACATATGTGTGCCAAATTTCAAGTTATTTGATTTAGCCATTTTCAAGTTATCTTGTTAACAAAAAAGTGGTTAGAAATAAAATAAACTAGACATATAATACTTGTTTGGAACAAGTATAGGTGGGCTGGTCAACTAAAATTTGAGACAAAATAGAGGAAAATAAGCGACATACTGCTTACAAATTCTTAAAAAACAATATCATGTAGATTCATAACGTGAACTAAATTCACCTTCTATAGGCATAACACGCAAATTATGAAGTTTTTGACATGAGGCCTTTAATCAAAATTTTCACTATGATGACGTCATCAAAATGAAAAATAATTATTACTGCGCTTGTAGAGAATTGTCTCAGCTACAACATATCGAAATTTTGAAGAAAATTGATCAATATTTACAGAGATACAATCAATTTTACATAAATATGCTGACGTCATAATATGCAAATTCGTATTTTGAGTTCCAAGGCCATTGTAATGATGTCACGATACACTTAATGGCCAAATGAGACATGGAATCATATTTCCGACTCATACTCTATCTAAATATGAAAAAAAATTGAGGATCCCGGTGCATTCCAAAGAGCTATAACGGATTTTGTATAGGCATGTTTTTGCCCATATATGCTATGTATTAAAAGAGCTCGCGCGCACTGACATTTATCTTGAATTTACGCTCATCTTGTTAATAATGGTCATAAAGAGATAAACATGGTATCAAATTCCTTGAAAAAATATGAGAAATATCATGAAAGAAAAAAAAATGGCGATTCTATGTTTTGTAATGGTGTTACGCGCGAAAACGCGCGCGCACGCACGTGTGCGCGATTTTTGCGCGATTTTTTATAAAATGCTTAAAATGGCCTTAAACGTATGCAAAATAAATTTGAAACGATTCTCAGCATTATAAAATTTTGCGCGCGCACTAACGCGCGGACGTACGCGCACGCGCGCGTTTTTTGACATGAAATTGACCGGACTGATATTGACCTTGATCATGATAAATATGAATGAGAAATGATTTACCGTTATGAAAATATGATCATGAGTAAATTTTCAGAAAATTTCACAAAATGGCGCCTAGATGACGTCATCAGTCAAGGTCAAGGTTTTAAACCTTACCGTGTTTTCTCCATATGCCTATACATATGTGTGCCAAATTTCAAGTTATTTGATTTAGCCATTTTCAAGTTATCTTGTTAACAAAAAAGTGGTTAGAAATAAAATAAATAAATAATAATAAAGGCAATTTTAACAAAATTATAAGGTGGTCTGTATAGATACAGCCCACCTGATAAATAACTAGACATATAATACTTGTTTGGAACAAGTATAGGTGGGCTGGTCAACTAACATTTGAGACAAAATAGAGCAAAAATAAGCGACATACTGCTTACAAATTCTTAAAAGACAATATCATGTAGATTCATAACGTGAACTAAATTCACCTTCTATAGGCATAACACGCAAATTATGAAGTTTTTGACATGAGGCCTTTAATCAAAATTTTCACTATGATGACGTCATCAAAATGAAAAATGGTTATTAATGCGCTTGTAGAGAATTGTCTTAGCTACAACATATCGAAATTTTGAAGAAAATTGATCAAAATTTACAGAGATACAATCAATTTTACATAAATATGCTGACGTAATAATATGCAAATTCGTATTTTGAGTTCCAAGGCCATTGTGATGATGTCACGATACACTTAATGGCCAAATGAGACATGGAATCATATTTCCGACTCATACTCTATCTTAATATGAAAACAAATTGAGGATCCCGGTGCATTCCAAAGAGCTATAACGGATTTTGTATAGGCATGTTTTTGCCCATATATGCTATGTATTAAAAGACCTCGCGCGCACTGACATTTATCTTCAATTTACGCTCATCTTGTTAATAATGGTCATAAAGAGATAAACATGGAATCAAATTCCTTGAAAAAATATGAGAAATATCAAGAAAGAAAAAAAAATGGCGATTCTCTGTTTTTTAATGGTGTTACGCGCGAAAACGCGCACGCATGCTCGTACGCGCGATTTTTTATAAAATGCTTAAAATGACCTGAAACGTATGCAAAATAAATTTGAGACGATTTTGATCATTTAAAAATTTTGCGCGCGCATTGACGCGCGGACGTACGCGCACGCGCGCGTTTTTTGACCTGAAATTGACCGGACAGATATTGACCTTGATCATGACAAATATGAATGAGAAATGCCTTTTGGTTATGAAGATATGATCATGATTTGATTTTCAGAAAATTTCACAAAATTGCGCCTAGGTGACGTCATTAGTCAAGGTCAAGGTTGAAAACCTTACTGTGTTTTGTCCATATGCCTATACATATGTGTGCTAAATTTCAAGGCATTTGATTGAGCCATTTTTAAGTTATCTTGTTAACAAAAAAGTGGTTAGAAATAAAATAAATAAATAATAATAAAGGCAATTTTAACAAAATTATGAGGTGGTCTGTATAGATACAGCCCACCTGATAATAAAGGCAATTTTAACAAAATTATAAGGTGGTCTGTATAGATACAGCCCACCTGATAAATCCGGATTCCGTACAGCACTTATACGGAATACCGTCTCTAGGCGATTTACAGATAATATTCTTTTATCACTTCTTTAGATTCATTCACACATACCGCATGCACCATCCCCACTCCCCGGGGACTATCCTATCATAAATGATGCTCACCGTGAGGGCATATGAAAACTACTCTCACGGGGGCTTTCGCCATCCTACCAGGTCCCAATTACTTTCCTGGGTATGGAGTGACATAATTTATGTAGATTAATACCTTGCCAAATGAAAGCCATAAAGCAAGGCCATCGAAAGAGAGAGAGAGAGAGAGAGAGAGAGAGAGAGGAGGGAATGGGAGAAGGTCGACTCATCTTCCTCCCATTCTCACTTTCTCTTTTTTTCTTATACTATTCGGTGAGGGGGAGTTATGTACCTCCCCCCCCCCCCCCCCTCCCTCGGCTACCTCTCCAGGTTCAATGCGGCATAATGGGTGATGATGCATAGGTAAAGCCTTGTGATCATTTCGTTTATTTCCGCAGAAAATTGGGTAAACGCTTGTGTAATTGCAGAGTTAATTTTGCATGGGAAATCATGCATTCAAGCTTGAATTGACCATGTATTTTCCTTCCATGCACTAGTGAACACGGTGTGTGTTACAGAAAATAAAATCAAACAAACAAAAGAAGCGCACATAATTGGATTGCCCCCGAAATTACTATAACTTGAATACAAAACTGTAGCTCCTATACCTTCTTTCAACTTCAGCGATATTAAAGTCACTTAAACCAGCCATTGAAGAAAAAAAACCTAAATAATAATAGTTCATTGATTCTTAGAGATTATGTACAAACATGCTTTATTAAGAACCAAACCTGTAATCACATTACTTTCTCTTTTTGCTTGAGGAGAGACAAGGGGAGAGGGGGGGGGGGGTTCACATTATCGCATTCATTGTTACGTCAAAGTAGTCTTTGTTATAAGTGATAGCGAGATCGTGAAGACTTTCAACAAATCAATCTAAGGCAATCTTAGTAGCCTTTTGTTTTTTGCGTCACCTATCGAAATGTGCGAAAATGACAATGACTCAATGACTTAACCCGAACATGTTTTCTAGAGGCAATACATAAGCGTATACGCCTGAGTTCATGTTTGGTTACTTTTTGCGGTCGTGTTTTATCACGTAATACGAACTTGATTTCTATCGCAGGCGCGGATCCAGGGGGGGGGGGCCGAGCGGGCCTTGGCCCCCCCCCCCCGGCAAAAAAAAAAAAAAAAAAAAAAGAGAGAAGAAAGGAAAAGAAGGGAAAGGGAAAGAGGAGAGAAAGGGAAAGAAAGAAGAGGAAGAAGAAAAGAAAAGGGGGAAGAAGGAGATCGGGGGGCGAAAGGGCCTTGCCTCCCAGGCTGTTGCCCCCCCCCCCCCAATCAAAAAAATAATAGAGAAGGAAGGAAAGGGAAAGAAAAAAGGAAAATAGGAGATACTGGCGTACTGATAGAGGGGGGGGGGGCTTGGGGGAAATCAAATTCAAACGTGTTTTATTTCTAATTCCATAATTGTGGATTACAAATAATGCTGAAATTACATAATTCCGAGATTTTTCCTCACTTTTTAGTAAATTATACTTTTTTATGCGTTTGTTGGAAAATGACAAATTCCTAAATTTACAGCCAGGCAAGAAATATGATTCTTGAGATTCCTACATGTCAGGGCCCGAGGAACGGCGGGAATTGGGAGCCTCGAGTTCCCACCCCCCCCCCCCACACTTTAACAAAAAAAGTATATTAAAGAGAAATTAAAAAAAGAAAGAGAGCAAGAAAGAAAAAATAGTTAACTGCCAGTGTTAACAAATAAAGAGGCATCAAAATATGATCATCTGACCGTGATTAAATGCCTAAAACCCCTAAGCTTCCGGGGGATCTACCCCCTGGATTCCACCTAGGGCCCTAAGGTGGGCCCTTCGATGCTCATCTGACGGTTATTTAATGCCTAAAACCCCTGATTTTGGGGGGCTCCGCCCCCTGGATCCCACGCCAAATAGTGTCCTGCCAGTGACACAAAATAATAAGGATTATAACAAAATGCTCATCTGAAGGTAAATAAACGCCTAAAACCCCTGAGCTTCCGGGGCTCTGCCCCCTGGATTCCACCCTAAGACGGGCCCTTCGATGCTCAGTTGACGGTAATTTAATGCATAAAACCCCTGATTTTGGGGGGCTTTGTCCCCTTGACCCCACGCCTAAGTGTCCTGCCAGTGTGACAAAATAATAAGGATTATAAAAAATGCTCATCTGACCGTAATTAAACGCCTAAAACCCCCGAGCTTCCGGGGGCTCCACCGCCTCGACCCCACCAGGGGCCCTACGGCGGGCCCCTGAATGCTTGTCTGACCGTAATTTATTGCCTTAAACGTCTGAGCTTCTGGGGTCGGACAAGGTATCAAAATGTGTTAATCTGACCGCAGGCGCGTAGCCAGGGGGCGGTGGGGGCGGTACCCAAACAATCACCGCCCCCACCCCCCTAAAAAAGAAAGAGGAGAGAAAAGGAAGAGGACGTAGAAAAAAAAAGGAGCAGACAAAGAACATCTTTAAAATTCAGACAAAGATTAGTGTAGAGAACGGTACAACGCATCGTCTTCTTTCTCTAATAATTTAATGAAACGTAAAAGCCCCCGCGCTTCGCGCGGGAGGGGGGAAACTGAACTCAGATGAGGATTAAGCATCGAGAACGGTACAACGAATCGTCTTGTTTCTCTAATGATTTAAAGAAATGTAAAAGCTTCCGCGCTTCGCGCAGGAGGGGGGTGGGACTGAATTTAGATAAGAATTAAGAGTCGAGAACGGTACAACGAATTGTCTTCTTTCTCTAATGATTTAATGAATCGTAAAAGTTTCCGCGCTACGCGCGGGAGCGGGGGGGGGGGGGGGGGGTAACTGAATTCAGACGAGGATTATTTTCGAGAACGGTACAACGAATCGTCTTCTTTCTCTAATAATTTAATGAAACGTCAAAGCTTCCGCGCTTCGCGCAGGAGGGGTTGGGGGGTTGGGACTACATTTAGACAAGAATTAAGAGTCGAGAACGGTACAACGAATTGTCTTCTTTCTCTAATGATTTAATGAATCGTAAAAGTTTCCGCGCTACGCGCGGGAGCGGGGGGGGGGGGGTAACTGAATTCAGACGAGGATTATTTTCGAGAACGGTACTATGAATTGTCTTCTTTCTCTAATAATTTGATGAAACGTCAAAGCTATCGCGTTTCGAGGAGGGAGGGGGAAACTCGCCCCTCCCTGCACCCCCCCCCCCCCCCCCGCATTACGTCACTGCTGGTCACCATTACGTTCCAATTTTTGGCCCGCATAATTTCAAATTTGGGCCCCCCCCCCCCTAAGAAATCCTGGATCCGCGCCTGTTCTATCGGATCTACAAGAAGGTCTTGAAATTTCCCTCGAGTTGATTTCGCGAGAGTCTTTGGGGTAGTGTTTGTTGGACAACTTTTTATTTAAGTATTTTTTTAATGTGTTCTTACATATTGGTCTACGTCCATTTTACAGCCCTACACACCGTTCCAAGGTATCAACGTAGGACTGTATCATATATTCCTTTATGACTGGATCAACGCATATACACGGGAAGGGGTACTGGTCCTACGTCTTGAGGACTGGCATGCGGACCAGGTCTCAGTCTACAGGACCATCCTGGAATTTCTGGAACTAAGTAAGTTGTCCACATTTGGATGTGGCAGATATTTCTCAGTGTGGAGAAGGAAAGAGTAACAAAGTCGTGGATTGATTCAAGCGTTGTTAGGGTGTTGACAAAATCAAAGAAATCTACTTTATTTTATATTTCATAAATTATTTAACGTTGGGCAAAATCGAGATAATTAAAAAATGGTATGTATTCGAGCCAGGCTATATCGGAGCATGGTCAAACAGAGAGAGGGGCGAAAAATGTGGAAAGGGTGAAATTAAAATATTCTTGGGAAGCGTAGCGTGGATGTAGCGACCATAATTTAAAAGATGATTTGTGAAAATTAATAAATTAAATGAAATGGAAAACAAAATCTAACCTAGGTAGGAAGACTGATGGAAAAAGGATGGCTGATCATTCATATATGTGACTCCGCATAAGCTATACCATCCGTCATATATTCAGGCATTTTGAAACGGCGTTTATATTAGAACAAGCCGCTAGACGGGCTGTCTAAGAAACGAACAAAATGTCATAACCTTTTGCCCTGAGGTTTTCGATTTGAAAAAAGAGGACAGAATGTTTTAACGACTGTCCCAAATGCCTACTTCTTTGGTAGTATAACCCATTTTTTAACCATTAGGGTCCCAGTCTTGGGAAATCGTTTCTTGAGCGACCCCATTTTCATAACATAGCCCGACTTTAGACGTTTTGAAACGTACCGCCCCTCGCTAGAACATTTTAATGTCTAGGAAGCTTTGACGAAATAAAAGCCCAGGGCAGTTGCCACAGGAGCAAATTAATGTCGGATCAACGATATAAAGAGAACATTCATTTATTTGAGTTGTGTCACTATTTTGTATTGCTTTATCCACCTTTTACAGGACCTCTAACACCGGAGGAGGAAGCAAAGGCTCTGAGCACACGATGGGTTCAAGCAAGCAACAAAGTGGCACAGTCGAAAACGAAAAAAGCTTTGGACGATTTCTACCGCCCTCATAACCAAAAACTAGCCGAATTATTACAAAGTGATATTTATCTCTATCCCTAAATTCAAAAAGTACATCGGGCGTCGGAACTGATGAGAGTGAGTCGGGAGTGGGTATCCAGTACCCAATATTTTCACGTCTAAAAGATAAAGATACTTGCATGCAATAATCTAAAGTATTATACATACGGGCCTCTTTTTCCAGAGAATGAAATCATGTATTTGATTCCCTTTGATCGATTTCAATATTGTAAGCATATTGCTTTTCCTCCGTATAATTCGCACTCCGCAGATGGATATGATATGCTGGCTTCAATCGCTGAAATGCGACAATAAACTAAAACTAAATCTAAAACGTGTTGCTAATATTGCGTTTAGACACCAATTTATATTCAAAACTTGGATCATCTTCCATTTTGACTTTTTGTAAAATTTTGTTTTAAGATTAATCGAGACACTGTTGGATTGGAAAATTACCATGGAACTTTTTTCACTGTGTTCAATTTTTGTATGTGTAATGATGATTATGATATTGGCTTTCTTTCTTGGTATATACGATATACCACGCAAAGGCAGCCAATATTACATAAATATAGATCTATATTATAGAAACGATATTTTGATGAACTGTCTCATACGTGATTTTTTTGCTCTCAAGGTTTTGACGATATTTATTTACATAAAATAATATATGAATGTCTTTAATCCTATGTTTTAATTATTCATATTTATCAAATGTAGAAGTTTGATTAACAAGAAAGTACATGTTTTTATTTTTCAATATCATTTGAATGCACATCGAAGTCGAAATCTTTCCAACCATTCATTTCTGTAACAAATACTGCATTATACTTTTGTGTTATCGGTTTGTAATCAAATGATTCAAGGTGCTGGACACAACTAAAATTTGGGATGGAGAAACGCACAGGGGGAAGGGTGGTCACATCATTATAATGACTATTATGCATATATCATTTTCATCATTTTTTCAAATTAAAAATATTATATGATGTATGCGAAAAAAAACAGATATAAAGTATTCTATTATTAATTCAGTTGTACACGTCCCTTTTCTTTTATACTGTCATCGAATATAGGCGTCCATTAATAACATTTTCTGTTTCATGTCCATTTTCCGTGTTTAATATCCTTCAGTCTACATTACCCTTTAGATTCTCAAAGCCCTGAGGCTTTCTAGGTTTACCCACAGCCTTCCTGTCTGTTCCATCCACTCTACCCTATCCTCTGTCTCTAATAGTCCCCCGGCTAAAGCTAAATGTGATTGCTTTATTCAAAAGTTAAAGCTTGCAGCGTTATTGTGTAGCTTTTTCCATTCGTCAGAAAAGTTCAAACCGAAGTTACTCCAATATTTGCCTTCATAGTCCGCAATATTGACCATGATTTGTTGTTTTCTCGCGAACAGCACTTTATAGTTAAACCACTAAAAACTTGATTGTAGAAGAAAAAATTATCTTCATATCATGCATATTATCATGAAGTAGATATCAGAATAAGATTTCAAAAAATAAACGGCGAAGAAAAGAGGAGCAAAGAAGAAGAAATGACATTAAACATGTTTCCCAACTTGCTCTGCTAACAGCATTCAGACGAAAAAGAGAAAGGAAAATGAAGAAGAAGACAAAGAAGACGAAGAAGGAGAAATAGAAGTGTTATAATTTTAAACAAACGTAAATGCATGTTTTTGCCAGTCGCTCCTTTCTCCAAATGTCATGTGTTTAAATGGAAACTATTATTTTATCCGATCAAAATCGCACACACATACAAACAAATCTCGGATTTAGAAGAGTGCAATTTTCATTCTTAAAATCTTAGGTAGAACAAACGGGTGAGGCGACACATTATAAGTATCTGATTATAGTCAAGTCAGTTGAATTTTAGTTTTAAAGACTTCAAGTAAAAGAATTTAAGTGCGATCGTTTTACTGATACAACTTGAAAGTATTAACAAATTGCGAATTACATGCTATATGTTTTATGAAGTAAAGCAAACTTATGAGTTATCTAATATTTTTTTACTAATCGTGAAGGAATGTTTGAAAGTATTTATTGAGCACTCTAATACTGATATTGTGAGGGACGGAGAGGGAGAGGAGGGAGTGCTATCATTTTGAAGATGGAGGATAAGTGTGCAATTATAAATTACGTTTTAATACAGAATGAATAAACTTGATTCCATGCAATGTTAATTTCTTTTAGATTTGGAAGGTACTGAGGATAGAGAAGAGACCGAAGGGGTAGATAGATAAAAGAGACAGGGGAGAAAGGCAGATAGAGAGAGAGAGATATATAAAGAGAAAGAATGTGGGAGAGAGAGAAAGTGGGGAGGGGTCAATATTATTGGTCAATCAGGATAATTGAGAGATACGTGAAGATGATAATAATGTAACATTAAGACAACGATGAAATGACACATACGAACCTCCATATCACACACACACACACACACACGCACGCGCACACACACACACACACGCGCACACGCACACACACACAGACACACACTCAAACACGCACGATGGATAACATTACCTGTGGGTAATCGATGGCTCGAACGCCCTCCGGCCTACTTTTCATTAGACACTTTCTTCTAAGAGAGCTTGATACGTGTATTAATCATTATGCAAGAGAAATCAGGAGATCAGAGGTGGAAAGAGAGATAGAGGGGGGGGGGGGTAGAGAGGGAGTGAGGGAGACAGTGAGGTGGTGAAACTGAAATAAGGGACAAAAGAAAAGAGAAAGACAGGGCGAGAGAAAGAGAGAGAGAGAGAGAGAGAGAGAGGGGGGTGGGGAGAGAGAGAGAGAGAGATACATACAAAAAGAGGTGGAGGTACTATCAGAGAGAGAGAGTCAGACAGATGAGAGATACATAGAGAGCATGCATGGATAGGGGCGGGAAAAGAAGAACGAAAAAATGGTCGCGTGGTGGCCTCAGTTTCAGCCCACCAATCTCCAAGACATGTTCGTCCACCCGTCTTACTCCAAATGAAATTGGTATGATGAGTAGAGAATGCAGATTATGAGAGCGAGAGAAAGAAATGGTAATTGGGGATTAAGGAATCTTGCAGTTTAAATGAAAAGTTGATGCGGATTACAGAGATTAGTCCTCTGATTGATATCAAAGTTTGAAAGGTAATCACCGCACACTAATGACAAAACTTATCCATGAAAACAAAAAGGTACGAGCACAAAAAAGGAAATGGAAAAAATAAAGATAAAAATGAGACATAATGGAAATAGAGTAACAGACAGATGGAAAGCTAGAAAAGCCCATATACATGACAAGTAATAAAGAGGGTCAAATTAACAAGAAAAGGTAAAACAGCAATATTCATTTTCTTGGTAATCTGGGGTTTCTTAATAAGTTAGGCAGAACATACAAAATGAACAATAAATCATGTAAAGCCTGGCGAGCTCTGGCTATAGTGGGTGTCTTTGATTGATATTGCCTTCTTTGGGATTTTTGTTTTGATTCATTGAGAGGAACATAAACCCTTGTTGATTTGGTTATTATCCGAAAGTTATCAACAGAATAAGGCAAAGTATCTTCCCCTGAGCGAGTTAATTTGTGGATGGAAGTATGCCTGGATATACATGGGTATATTGGTGAACGTTCTCGATTCTCACATGGAAGGTCCTCGGTTCGATCCTCACTAAGTGCTGAAACCCTTGGACGAGGTGTTAAACCCACATTTTATGAACTTTCTCGACCAAGGTGTATGAAAATAATGGTTACCTGGCAATACCTGGGTGATCATCATTACAGGGTCCGACGGAAGAGCATGTAAACTAAAATTCAAACTTTATCATTCTCAATTTTTGTACATTGGATACAAAAATTCAAAGTTATAGTGTAACGTAGATAATTGAGTGTAAGAGTAAAGATAACAATAACCATAGGAGTGATACAAATGAACATACCACTGCATGTCTCACCTGAAATATAATGCAGGGATGAGCATAAATTATATTACTCGTAATACTTTATACAATTTGTCCCCTTTTCTTTTCAAATAAAAGGAAGAAAACGAAATATGAATATATAAACAACATGATAGTAAGACAATATACATATATATATATATATATGTTTCATGATTAACAAATTTAGATGACCCCGACAGCTCGACTCTATTCTAGTCGGGGGAGACAGTGAGCATGGGAATAAATAATGTCACAATATATGATTAATAATGAGGCTTCCTTGGGTAAATATTACCCCCCCCCCCCCCGAAATAAAAAAAAGATATATGAAAAAAGGTTTGTTCATATCCCTGGACTATCAACTCCGGAAAAACAACCCTAGGAAAACAATGTCGAAAGAAACTCCCCGGACAACTCACATCGTCTATACTCTGTGGAGGAGGGGGTGTTGGATAAAAAATGATTGCCTTTAACTCAACTCACCCCCACCGCTCGCAAATAACTGACCAAAATCCAACAACAACAAAAAAGATCCAGAGGTCAATTTTCATTCATTCAAGATGTCACCATTCTAATGTCTCAAATCTTCTCCACGAAATTGTCATTCAATTCATTTCCACCCCCCTGTTACACCCACAAATGTAATAACGCCCACAAATGTAATAACACTTTACCCACAAATGTAATAACACCCACAAATGTAATAACACTTTACCCACAAATGTAATAATTTCACCCACAAATGTAATAACCACTTAACCCACAAATGTAATAATTTTGAATCACGAACAAATGTAATAATGACTTTACCCACAAATGTAATAAATTTGAAGGGATATTTTGTCGAATTTGTTCAAAACTAAAACCCTGTAATAAAGCATGGGTATAGCGCGCAGTCTTTACTCCAGACCCGGTTATTTCAAAAATTTAAAAAATCTTCAAAACTAAGACCCCATAATCCTTTTCCTGTGGAATAACGTGTGTGTGTGTGTATTTGGGTTTTTACAGACGTGTATCAATCAGATATGATTATTTACGTCTGGGGACCGACTTTTAACGTCACCATCCGAAAGACGTGACTCAGTTTCGAACCTGCGTTCTCGGCTGAATCAGTTTGTAACTTCCACTGTTAGCTGGATTACAGGCGCACGCCACAACGCCTAGTTGAGAATCGAGCGTAGTCTTTCCTCCAGACCCGGTTATTTAAAAGTAAAAAAAAAACAAAAAAAACTTTTAAACTAAGACCCCACCATCTTCCAAACTAAGACCCGGTAATAAAGCATGGGGTTTAGCACGTAGTTTTTCTTCCAGACCCGGTTATTTCAAAACTTTTAAAAAATCTTCTAAACTAAGAACCCATCATCTTATTCATGTGGAAGAACATGAGTATTGAGCGTAGTCTTTCCTCCAGACCCGGTTATTCAAAAGTTTCTGTATTATGGATAGCGCCCCTTTGAATAGCGACACTTATTTCGTATTATGAATACCCTTTTTGGTTTTATGAATAGCGGTCCTTCACGTAAAGTAAGTTCCACGTTACGAATAGCGGTCCTTATGACTAGCGAGGTTACCTCTGTTAAACTGCATAAAATTATGTGTTGACCACTTTTGACCTAAAGTTTTCCATTCTATAATGGTTTCTCCATCTAAAGCTTAACCGTTGCACCAACCCTCCCTGTGCCGAATTCATAAATAATTGAATCAATATTAATATACTAAAAAGTAACATGGAGCAATTGCATAGAAAAAGAAACACATGAGAGGAGTGGTAGAACGCACTAAATATCATAACTGGTTAGCAACCATAATATAAGTAATGTATTTTATTACTTCAGAAGATGTACCTGAAAGGTAAGGGATCACAGACATGAATGATATTGGAACAAACTTTCCGAAGGTTTTCCGCAAAAGTCATATTGCAGTGCAGTATTACCATAAACAGCACAACACATCGTAACGAACATAACAACTACTCTCCACCCCCACCCCACCCCATCCAAAGCTTACACACCTGACTTCGAAATTGTCAACAAACTTGCGTCAACCAGGTAACACAAGGAAAGATAAGTCGTAAATGCTTCCGGAACAAAACCTATCACGAGCCATTTCAAATGCTAATAATTGCTTGCTGTACTATCTTGATTACCAATCTTCAAAATTTTGGGTTGACTGCACTTATTGCAATTATAATTCATCCTCCCTCAAAACGGATTATTTGGACCCTAAATAAAATGATCATTATCTATGTCAAAAGTACTCAAGAAAAGTCTAATTAGGCTTATAGGTCTATTGATTGTTTGTGTATATTTAGTGTGATGAACTGTTGTTCATGGGTCGATACATTTTGTATAGGAATTCATTTTATTTTAATGGATGTATTTAGCGCCTCTCGCTATAAGCGGTTGGCTATTCAAAATTTCCATTTCTTATTTTATTTGATTACCAAAGGTAAATTGTATTTTGTGTTGAATGGAATTATTGGAGCCTAAATATAACATCCATTTCCTATGTCAATCATACTACGCGAATACCTGTATTTTTTTTTAATTCGTGGCATTTAACGTGTCGTAACAAAA